GGTGATAAAGCTCGAGGCCTGGAGTTCCCACCCCTGGGTTACAGGAAGTGTTATTGAAGCTGTGATGGTGGGTTGAGAAAGAAAACTGGAACCAAAAAGCAACAAACTCAGACCTGTGTGCTCGTTTCCAGCTCCTCATCTTTCTTCTTGGGTTGTAGTAGAGTAGCTTTGCATGATTCACAGTTTATCATAATCCTCCTTCATCTTGTGCTGCTCCTTGGTGGAGGTCAAAGGTCACAGATGCTGCTTTGCCTGATGACCTAATGCTGCGACTGCTTTTCCAGACTGACTCAGTTTTCCTGTTGTTCCTGGCCGTGCGTCCTGGCTGACGTTCAGAGTGAAGCCGGCGTGGAGCTGAAGCTGTCGGCCGCCCGTGTGTGTGTGTGTGGCTGAGATTTTTGTGCTCCTATTGGTGGACCTCACAGAGGCCTGGGTCTGGGGGTTACGTTGAGATGCAGAGTAGAGTAGCCGGGGATCGAACCACCAACGAGCCGCTGGTCCTCCCGAGCTGCAGCTGTCAGAGCTGTTACTCTAAAAATGTTTTTTCCCCCCAAAAGTAACCAAGTTACTTTCTGCAAGTAACAATCCAGCTCTGAACTTTTCACGTGCTTCAATCGTGCTGCTGCGTTGCTGTAGTGTTGACAGACGCCTGCTGTGCGTGGAAGCAGCGAGAGCACGGCGTGTTCTGCTTGCCGTACGCGTCGTCCTGTCCGTGCTGGGATCAGAGGTGTTTGGAGGTAAACGGGAGCTCGACTGCAGGAATGAAAACAAGCCGCTGACTTCCTGTTGTTTTCACAGCTGGTCAGGCGAAGCCGTCGGTAAACTGCTGTTAGGCGAGTTATAGATCCGGTCTCTGATCCATTTGAACTTCAGCCCCTGCATTTCTGAGCTCCTGCATGCGTTTGGCCGAAGAGCCTCCGCAGGTGGTGTGCTGCTTTGTTAGCTGCTGGACGTTTTCTGTCTGGAAGCGTCCTCAGTCTGGACCCGATAAACCTGAGGTTCTTGTCTCGGGACCGCAGATGGACACAGCCGCTGCGAGCTCGCTCTGCGGTCTGCAGGATCAAAGTTGGCCCTTGTTGTTTCGTGTTTGGATGAGAGGGTGGACAGCGACGTACGGGAGCATCACACCTGCTGATCAGTAACATCAACATAAAATCCGTAAAGCGGAGCTCCGCCTTCCTCAGCGCTCTGTTACAGTGACCTCACAGCAGCCATCTTATTGGTCACATGACCTCATTAAAAGGGCTCGGGCAGCACGAACACGATGCCCTTTAAAGCTGTGTTACGGAGGAGGATCCACGGACCGTCAGGCTGTAACATGAGTCTGAGGCACGGACTCACTGCTGCCTCTGCTGGACGCTGTTGCATCTCAGGTCTCTCACATCATCAAACCAGTAGTGTGGCTGTTCGCTGTAACGCGCTCGGCTCGCCGCTGGTCGTGACCAGCCATCGGTCTCCCTGTCATGTTTTCCTCGTGCTGTGAGGCGAGACTGAAATAAGCTCTTCCTGCCGGCTGACTCGTGCCTGCTAACACTCCTGGGTTCTTGTTCCTGTTTCCAGTTTGTTCCAGAGGGAGGACGCTCTGCTGTGTTTAACTTGCTGTGTGTCGCGGCTGGTCTGTGTGAACACTAACACTGGTGCGTTTGTGTGTCTGTGGCGCTGCAGCTCAACACTAACGCCTCTGTTTCTGTGCTTCTCCTCTCTGCAGGTACAAGAAGACTCAGGAGACGCTTTCCCAGGCCGGACAGAAGACTACCGCGGCTCTGAGTACAATGAGCACGGCCCTCAGCAAGAAGATCGGCGACATGAGGTACAGTGCGACAGAGCCAACATGGCCACCGCGCCGGCTCAGCTGCAGGAACAAATGTCAGCGGGGACGTGTGGACCCATCCTTACACCGTCCCCTGCTAGGCAACCTGGTGACGCAGTCTGTGGATCGTTTAAATCAGGTGGTGTGTTGGGTCTGCACGCCTCTCCTGCTGTGGGTTTAGCTCCCCGAGTGACAGAGTGCGAGCACTGCTCGGGCGGCGGCCCGTTAACGTGGCTCACGGCATCAACCCTGTCCCGTCCTCGCCAACGCGCTCTCTGAGCCCCCGCGTTGGCGAGGACGAGGCCCGCCTCAGACCGTCACCAGGTTAAACCCGGCCACGCGTTTCTTCCTGCAGTTCTGACTTCATCTCCGGTCGCGCCCTGCCCACCTGCAGCCTCACTGCTGTGATTGGGTCGTTACCCAGCTTCAGTGCTGAGTGTGAGTAAAGCAGCAGTGTGACGGCGGCCAGGAAACGGGACGCGGCCCCCTCCACTCTGCAGTTTAATCCCTGTAACTCACTGTGTGTGGGTGTGTGTGTGGGTGTGTGTGGGTGTGGGTGTGGCCTCACGCTCTCTCTCTCTCTCCTTCTTACCGCTGCCTTGGTCTGACCCGCAGAGCTCTGCCGTTCTCTAACTCCTTTAGGTAAGCCTCCACATGTTGTCATCCTCACACGGTCAGTCACATGACCTGTAATTATGTAAACGCAACACTGGTCCACTAAGAAGTCAGGTGACCCTTTAAAGTGCTTCAAGGGGACTGCTGTTGTGACTTTGTGCTGTGTCAATAAAGTTGAATTCAACGTTTGTAGTGATGCTAGGCTCAGGTTGCTGTGGAGACAGCTTCATTTCAGTTTGATGGTTCTGTATGTTCATGTATCAGCGCCAGTTTAAAGTGCTGTGCTCTGATTGGCCAGCCTGACAGGAAGACGTTTCGATGATATGAGCTGAAAATAAAGTAAACGAGTTAAAGAAACGACGCTGGGCGTTCCAGCTGTGCAGAGGATGTTAAAAAACTCAGTTCTTTCAGCGTCAGACTGCTCTGCAGGCTGTGACAGCTGATTTAATGTGTGTGCGTGTGTGTGTGTGTGTGTGTGTGTGTGTGTGTGTGCGTGTGCGCGTCACTGCTTCCTGCATTGTAACACTTGCTTTTCTGTCTCTTCTCTTTAACGCATTCAAAGTAGCAACTATTCCATTCGCCACTCGATAAGTATGCCCGCCATGAGGTAACGTAACACACACACCTGTACCTGTCTGTGCTCGCTAACATCAGCTCACTGAAGGCGTTCAAACCTGGGGGAGTTTGTTGTGGGGAAATGAGGTGGAGTTTTTATTGGCTACTTTTATTCGAATACATTTATTCGACTCTGCCGTCAGCTGATCTGATGTTTCCGTGGCAACATGAAAGTTTTTGATTTTAGTTGTTATTGTGTTGACGTTTGACGCTGCGGTGACATAATGAAACTTTGCTGCGGTGGCTGTTTTTCTTTGTTTGTTCTTTCCAGTCGCAGCTCGTCTGCAGTGAAACACAAACGACACAAACATGTGTACATTGTTTGTTTTTATTAAAGCTGCTTTTATTTCATGATTGAATATTTTATCAGGTCTATGACCCAAAACGTCGGGCTGCTGTGAGTCTGCAGATCTCAGAAACTCACATTTTATTCACAATAAAACATAAAACATGACGGGTCTGACCTCAGATCAGTCTTAAAGGAGTCCAGAGCAGATGGCGCCATTTCTCCATCGTGGTCACGTGTGGTTCTCCTCCATGTGATGGAGCTGTAACCTGCACGTGTGGACTGCACGCCGAGCTGCTCGCATACGGCGGTTTCTGGAAGCGTTCCTGAGCCCGTGCACTGATCGATCACAGAGCGGCGTTTGAAGGTTATCGTCCCCGCGCACAGAGATTCCTCTGAGTATGCTGATGATGTCATGTTCACAGTGAGGATTGCTGTAGGTTGGTGAAGCTCTGCCCGATCATGTGACCCAGCTGCTGACAGAATAGAATAGAATAATCCTTTAATTGTCCCACAAGAGGAAATTTGGTTGTAACAGCAGCCAGAAAGACACACAAACAGGACACCTGATCAGCTGATAAATCTTCCTCCGGCTGTTTCTCTTCTCGGTTTTCAGCGTTTTGTCGACCCGTCCCAACTTTGACGCACGTGCTGCCGCCATCAAAGTCAAACTTTATTGAAATGGTTCATTTTCTCCTTTAAATGTTTTCTGCGAATCAAATCTGGATTTATGAGACTTGCAGATCATCACATTCAGTTTTTATTCACACGTCATCCTGACGTTTGGATTTGGCGTTGTTATTAAAGAAATGTGATGTTTGTTAGATTTGATGTGGCGGTGTTATTCTGACTCTAACCTCGTGTCTCTGCTCCGCAGAAACTCTCCAACCTTCAAGTCCTTTGAGGATAAAATGGGGAACCTGAAGGTGAGCAGAGGTCTGTAGCAAAGTTTAGTGTTTGGAGGAAAAGGATCAAAGTTGAACATTGAGTTGAGATATCTGCAGGACGAGCAAAGGTCAAAGGTTAATGCAGAGTTTCACCACAAGGTGGCAGCATGTTCTGTGTCCAGTGTCGATTAGTTTCTTCTTTGCATGTTTTTGCTCACGGTGCTCCGTGAGTGTGGGACAGGAAGTCAGCTTTTCTTTAGTTTCAAGTTTGTGTCTGAAGGAAGGTTTTAAAATGAAGACGAGGCTTTAAACAGAGTAAACAGGAAGCTGATGAAGGGACGCGCTAACCGCATCACTGACCCTCAGCTGTTTCCTCTTCCTCTCTCTCTTCAGTATAAGGTCGTCGGTCAGAGAGGAAATGGAGACGCCGTCAGCTCCCCCACCGACACCACCCCCACTCAGGAGAACCCGTCTTTCTGAACACTCGCTCCCTCCTCCACCACCTCCTCGCCGCCACCTTCTTCACGACCTTAGACTGTACTGTTACCACCTCGTCGCAGAGCCACACCTCCACCTCCACCTCAGCAGCTCGCTCTGTAGCTGGTGGCAGAGTGCACAGCCCCGCCCCCGAGCCCCGCCTCTGTTTCAAACCCATCAATGTTTCAGAGGCCACCCGGCTAAACACCAGGCGCTAAAAGATGTCACCTTCTGAAACTTGACCCCCCCCAAGTGTTCATACTCATCCAAAAAACAAACACGCAAACCTCCTGCGGGTGTAGCTTTGGAGGCGGGGCTTCTGCAGGTGGAGGAGGATTATATGGGCCTCTGTGGGTGAGCGTGCTCTCTTCTTTCTCTGCATTCACACTGTGAGCACACGCTGCACAGCGCCCCCCGCCGCGCTCTGTGTAAACGCAGGCAGGTGTACAGGTTAGCGCTATATACCTGCGAGGATGGGCGGGGTCAGGACCCGGGAACCCCCGCCCTCCTCGACCTTCTCCACGTACACGCACATCCCACCTGAAACCCCCGCTGTGTAAAAAAGCCCTTCAGCCATTTTGTATTCTCTGAACTCTTTTACAGCTTTGCAGACGTTTTTACGTAACTTCTATCGGCGCGTACCAACACGGTAACCAAACTGTCTCCGGTTCACAGGCGTGTCGCTGAAAACACAGCTTCCTGTTTGTGAAACTGGCGTCGCCGTCGGAGCGCAGCCGACGCTTCAACGATGCTTCGCCGCGAACGCTACCTGCTGAATGTCACCGCTTCTCAGTCGGCCTTACTCGCGTTAAAAGCTTCGCCCGCTCTCTGATCCAGCCGCGGGACACGCCCACCCCTCGCCCTTTGGTTTTTCTTCTTCTTCTCTGGGTTTGGTGAAGGACGGGACGCCCGGGTGTTTGTGGTGTACTCACACGGGGCGCGTCTGGTGTGCCGCTTGTCTTCGTTCGGGCCTGCAGAGTAACTTCCTGTACGGAAGCGACCACGCCTGCAGATGAACTGCGCTCACGCCAAACAACAGAACAACTGACTTTTCAGATTTTTTTTCATTATTTGTAAAACGCCATGAAGTACCGTGCCAATCTTTGTTTGTGTGCTTTGCCAACATCACTCCTGCCCGCTACGGGAAGTGCTGACGAGCTCGTTAATAAGACGTCCTGCTTCTGTGGCGTCCGACTGCTCTGTGACAGGAAGCGGTCATTGAGGCGTGCCGCCACGTGTGAGTACACCTGAGAGGGAGACCTGTCATCAGTCTTGCGGGTCTCCGCTGTGGGTGTTTCTGCTGCCCGCGGCTGTCCTGCCTCCTGCGTGCGTCCTTATTCTTTGTGTTGATCATTATGGTAGACGATGAAGATGATTTGTTAGCTGCTTCCTGATTTTCTTTCCTTTGCTCTTCTGAGGTGGTTTCTTCTTTGTAAAATGTCATCAGTTGCCAATCCTGAAATATCTGTTACAGACTCTTCCTTTGTGTCTCTGGATCTCCTCGAGTGTCTCTGCGCTTTGCCAAGATTAAACAAACTCTTGCACACTACAAGAAATACTCCTGAAGTCATTTACTTAATAAAAGAATCACATTTTTCTTATGCACAGGGGAAAGGAGATCGTCAGTGTGAGAAAAATGCGATTTTGAAACTAAATGAATTTTCCTCCTTGAAAGCTGCACATGAGCAGTTTGTTTTGGAGAGTAGATGATGGATGGAGTGAGTGACTTCTTAGTTTTGGGACGTGCAGCACACCACGAGCATGCTCACTGAGGACTTTCAGCTTTATTCGGGTCCGGGGCCTCTCTCATGTAGATCGTTAAAGAGATCAGATTTGGAAGCTAATGGTGAATTAATTAAAAACATTTTGGTTTATTGTAAATGTTTGGATATCAATAAAGCATTCCTTTAAATGAAACGTGCCCTGTGATCTCTTCTCTTCACTTTCACTGCTGTGCATAAAATTACTGACACATCTTTACAATCTGTAAATTGAATAAACATTAAAGTTTGATTCTGGATTTGAGGCTCTCCTTTTTCTGAATTCATGGAAAAGTATTGCTGAATTTAACTGATTTAAATTCAGATGAAGGCTGCAAAGTTAGAGAAATAAAGCCATGACCATCTCCTGGGTTGCTAAATTTCCAGAGTTTAGAGTCAACTATGACACCTGGGCCTGAACAGGAAGTCAGTCTGACGGTTTTTGGGTTTCAATATGCGAAAACGTCAGCTTTTAAAAAAAATAAGCTGCATGCATATTCTATTCTGTATGCAAACAGCATAGGTGACAGAGGCTGAGGTCACCCAAGGTTAAATATGTTTACAGATTTTCGCCTTGATGCATTCTCAATCATCCAGGACAGTGAATCTTTGATCAGTGGTTGTTGATCAGTGGTCATGAGAATTAGCATAATTATGATCAAGGAACTGACCTCCCAGCCCATTGTCCCTTCAGTGGGCTGGTTTCAGTCATTATGCAAATGTACTGTTTATAAGATTTGGGGAAACCTGCAGTCTGCTGAGACTGAAGAAGTCACCTGGATGATGACGAAACGTTTCTCCCACAAAACGCTACGTGTGAATGCACGCTTCGGTTTTCAGAAAAAGTGTGTTCCCTGACCGGGAATCGAACCCGGGCCGCGGCGGTGAGAGCGCCGAATCCTAACCACTAGACCACCAGGGAGAGTTACCGCGAATGGTCACAATCAGGCTTAAATAGTAACGTGAAACAATCATGTTCGTAGTATTAGAGTGGTCACTCTTCCCCGTTCTGTATCACTACGGGTCATATGAGAACCACACCTGTAGAGTGACAGGTGTAGGCGGCGGCACGACTGTAGGTAGGTTGTCGTGGCCGAGTGGTTAAGGCGATGGACTAGAAATCCATTGGGGTCTCCCCGCGCAGGTTCGAATCCTGCCGACAACGAACGTTTTGCACAAACACTCGTTCCTGTTCTCCTACGAACCTGACCACAGACAGGTGAGATAAAGCTGTGCCACTGTCGAGGCTCTCAGATGAGAGACACCTGCATTTAAAATCAGCAGAACTGACCTCAAGTACTACAGTAAAATATGTATATATAGCAAACATGGTAGATAAAATTTAGACATAAACAGTCATAAAAGTATAAACGCAAATATAAAAACTGAGCAAAAAACCTCTAAACTGCATCAGCGTCATGACCTCCTTTTTTCTCCAGTTTACTGAGTCAGTTACCGAGTCACCCCCATTAAACAGGTTTTAGTCATAATGTGGCTGTGGCTACAATGTAGCTGCCATCTCCAGTGTGTGAATGGGTGGATGACTGGATATGTAAAGCGCTTTGGGGTCCTTAGGGACTAGTAAAGCGCTATATAAATACAGGCCATTTACCATTTAGTCATAATGTAGTTTACTGTGTTTTTATTTGTAGTTTTTACTGGGAGTTCTTTTAAAAAAAATGTTTTTATGGTATTGTTTACGTGCTACTGTAAGGTGACCTTGAGGGTCTGAAAGGCGCCTCAATAATACAATAAAATGTATTATTATTATTATTATTATTACCGGCAGAGGGCGCTGGAGGCTGCTGGTAGCGCAGAGAACAAAGAGAAGTGCAGGAAAACGAGCGTCGTGTTAACGGTTACAGCCTCAACGGAAATGAAATGAACGCATGTAAAGTGAGCTTGTACTGAGGCTTACAGGGATATACACGCGCCGGTCTCGGTGTGCCGGTATTTTGTGATGCAAATGTTGAAATTTTGTTTCAGTGATGTTTCCATGGAAACCCGCTGATTCAGCGCTGACGCGACTTCAACGGGGTGTTTTTTTAGGGAAAGGGAGAAGCGGTGAGGGCGGAGCCTTCGTTCGTCCCGCCTCCCACTGGAGTACGTCATGTCCAGTATAAAGGCGGGAGCTGCCCGTTCCTCCGCATACCACAGCATCGTCGGAACTCGCTCGGGCCTTGGAGGGTCACAATTACCCAAAACTTCTTTTCAAATGGGCCCCGTTGCCTAGCGTTCACTCCCCCAGCCTCGCCGACTGATCGAAGTGAGTGCTCCCGAACATCAAGCACGTCTGGGTCCGCACAAGGTGAGGCTACCGGCCGCGACGAGCGGTTAGAAAATGGTGGTTAGCGGTGCCTGTGACGGCCGTTTCCGGCACAAAGTGGGCATTTTCGATGGTTTCACGTTCCCATCTCGTCCCGAAGCCTTTCTGTCCCCGTTATGTTAACCGCTACGTCTCTCTCGGTGTTGCCGTGGGAGCAGCGGGGTGCTGTCGGCCGTTAAAGGCGGATTAATCGGAAACAAAATGTCCTCCGGGACATCCTCCGTGTGCCCCCCCTCCTTCCCCCGGGGTCTTTTCTCCCACCGGGCCGTTTGCAGGGTGACCCCGATGGGGCGGATTCACGTCAAGATGTCGGTCTGCTGCAGTGACCGTTAGTTGTAAACAAGCCCGGCTGGGATGACGTCATTGCCGTGGATGTGTGTACGTGCAGCACGCGAGGCTGCAGAGTGACCGTGATGCTTTCATGTACTGTTATATTGTCTGCAGGTGGGTTTCGCCTCACACTGTTAGGCTGTGTCTAATGTTTTGGCTGCTGTGGCAGGTTTACACCTGTGTAGAATAAAAACAAGATCCTGTGATGCACTCTTGATGTCAGCCTGATGTCTCTGCAGCTGCTCTTTGACGTCAGGCTTTATTGATGAACAGATGATCAATGAGCTGCACGCTCACGTGTCCGTGTAAGCACAGGCAGGCATCATGTTTAAGCCCTTTGTGGGAGGGGATGTTTGGTTCCTAGCTGGCCTTGTTTACGGTGGGACAGGTTCGGGTGTCACTCACACAGCAGAGCAGCCTCTGTGATGGTGATTATTGGAGTAATAATATCTATGGACACAGGAAGTGATGCTTCAGACACTGATGCAGGGATGATTGATGGCGTTTGTGTTTATATACCTTTTTGTTTCCGTAGAGGCAGCGATTGGTCAGATCCTGCACAGATTACACAGTAATCTTTATTTTCTCGTGTAATCCTCTGAATTACAGTAGTAACTGTAATCTGTTATTGGCTTTCTGTTTAATGTCAACAGTGAGCACAGCGAGCAGTGTGTTCATTATCATCAGTGCTTCTCCATCACTGGTGTGTATTTTTAATGGATGCGTGAAGTCCTGCCCACAGGACGATCTGATTGGTTGGAGAAAGAAAACAGAGGAGCACATGTAAACAAACTGTCAGGACATGGTCACGTGACTCTGTCACTGCTTTAATGACTGAAATGGTGACTGCAGGTCATTGGTGTGATTACTTCCTGTTTGTTTTGTCCCCTGCAGGGTTCCATCAGCACAGTGTACAGCGACCAACGGCCCAACAATGGCAGCTATCCCAGCAGGAGGGTCTCTCGTGGCGACCACTGATTACTACCGAAGTGAGTATCGCACGAAGAAGAGTTGGCAGGTTACAGTCAGCGAGGTGTGAGGTGGAGACTAACCCGAGGTTTGTGTCCCGCAGGGCGCATCGGCTCTACGTCCAGCAGCAGCTCGTGTGGCAGTTCGGAGTACAGCGGCGAGGTCATCCCTCACCATCCAGGTCAGTGCACAGTGGGACAGGGCGGGACCGGGAGTCTGGTGGCGTAGGAGCATTCTGTTGCGTTTCTTGTGCCGACATCATGCGGTTTAAAATGCAGCAGTCGGGGCTTTCTGAGATGCTCCACCCACTCGCTCGCGCACTGAGTGAGTTAAGCGGCGGCTCTTCTGGCAGGAATTTTGTGTCCTGAAGCGACGCCCACGTGAGCTGAAAGCAGATGTTTGTCTCTGAGCATGCTCAGTTCTTCCTCAGTTTGGGAGACTGTGGGGCTCAGAGACCGGTCTGATCCGGTTTGTTGAATTACAGCTCATGTGAGAGTGCTGCTCTTCATCACCACAGCACACGCATGTTGCCAGGGAGCTCGCACAGACGCACACACGCTCAGAGTGAACTGAACACACCCAGTTTCCCCTTTCACCTACTTTCAAGAACAGAGCTGGGGGGGTGTAAACAGGTGTGTGTGTGTGTGTGTGTGTGTGTGTGTGTGTGTGTGTGTGATGCAGTCATTTCCTGCTTTCTCTTTTCCTGTTGCCATAGAAACATCTTTGTTATAAAATAACTGACCAGTTTGAAACTCGTTTAAACTTGTGTGAGCGGCGTCGGTCAGTGATCATGTGATCCATCAGCTGGTCAGGCTGATGTGTGAACTGCTTCCGCCTGTAGATGGCTGGAAAAGTCTCAGTTTGATTTCATTGGTTTTCACGTTTGTGTTCAGAAAGTTTGACTTTTTCTTGTGACCGAGGTTAACGTCGCCGCTGTGACGGCGGGAAGCGCAGCAGTCCTTTCACGGTTAAACGCTGCTGTCGTGTCTGAATGTTGGACTCTGTCCACAGGACTGCCCAAGCAGGACTCCGGCCACTGGTGGTCCAGCTTCTTCTTCGGGAAGCAGCCGGGGATGACCCCACTGACTGAGGAGGCGCAGCACAAGTATGGACACACACGCACATAAATAAACTTTATTAGCAGCGATGGTCTGAGTTGGTTAACGCCGCTCTCTTCCTGGCAGGGCGGGGATCTCTGGTGTGGTGACTAACGGTCAGATCACCTGTGTCGCCCGGGAGATGGTGATGCAGCGGCAGGCGAGCGAGAGCAGCGACGCGGGAAGCCCCGTCTCCTCGTGATCCCGCGGTCTCTCTCTGTCTTCGCCACCACACCTGATTGGGGGGAATCGAACCATCAGCCAACGCTAGGTGACGGGAGGAAGTCCCGTTTACAGCCTTAGTTTCTTTTTTTCCTTTTGTACGTGTCGTAGTGTGGCTGCGTGTTCTGTTCCTGTAACCTCACTTTTTAAATTAATGACCAAAAATAAAAAATAAAAGCAGCCGATAAGCTCTGTTTGTTTTTAACATTTGTAATGTGTTTGTATTCAGCCTGAAGGTGGCGCTGCCACAGGCTTTTCTTAACCTTTCTCACTTTGTCACTGCAAACGAAATAAAGTCGAGTGCATCCCGACGCTCTGTGTGTTTGTTCAGCCTCCAGGTGACATCAGGGTGAGGAGGCGACGCTTCATTGGCCTCAGTACAGGACGGACAAACACCTCCTGCTCCTCCTCAGGGCGATAAACTCAAACCCTGATTTCATAGAAACTGCTTCAGGATCAATAACACGTCACCTGAAAGCCCGCAGCACTGCACGTTATTACTGTGACATCAGCAGCAGCCTCTAATCTGTCAGATTAACAAATAAACGCCACACGTGGAAATCCTGAAGCTCTGATCAATAATGTCCAAGTCACGCTCCAGCAGATTAGGAATTACTCAGATTACTGTAGCTGGATTATTGCTGATCAGGTGCGAGTGTGGAGATCAGCTGACTGATCGTTCATGAAGCGGTGCTGTGGGCTCATCTTCGTCACACAGCTTCAGTCACATGAATGATGAAGACTTTATGACATCATCAGCTACGTTTTCGTTAAACGATGGAAGCTTCAGCGTGCGTGAGAGGATGGAGGCTCAGGATCGCACGCAGACAGGCCCAGGTTGTTTTGTGATTAACTGCTAGTCTAAAAATGATTTACTGATTTAGAAATATTTAATGTGTTTGTCTTAAACTTTCACCCATCGAAGTACAGATTCCAAACACGTATTTTCGGGCGGTTTAGAGGGGCCTCACTGACCCCCATGAATATCCTGTGTCAACTAGCATGAACAGCTGGTCACGCCTCAGATTTACCTGACAAGGTGAGGTCTCTGAACCTCCTACCGACAGGTAAAGTGAGTCTGTGGAGCAGTGTTGGTGCTCAGGTAAATGAGCAGCTTTCATCCCTTACCTGGGCTGTGTGAGTGTGAAGGCAAAAGTGTGTCACATGACGTACGTGTGATGAGCTGGACTAAGGCCAGAGCGGGCACAGACTCGGTTTGTGATGAGGAGGCCTGCTGGATGGAGCCATCCGTCCTCGGTGTTTTCAGATCAGATTAAGAGTGCTGGCTGTCACGGCGATAGCCTCCATCTTTTATTTACAGTCTGTGGTTAGGCTGAGGGTGAAGCGGTCCCGCTGCGTGGAGAAATCTGCTGGTGACGGCGGCAGAAACCCTGACGCAGGCTTTTCTGGCCGGCAGTGAAAGGTTTGTGTGAGCGCTGCTCATCTCTGCGCGTCTCTATGAAACACAGGAAAGACAAACAATGTTCTGCTCCGCCGCACCGAGGCCTCATTTGTTTCCATGCTGCACTTTTTCCAGGTCACCGGCTGCTTCGAGGAGCCGGGCCGGGCCGTGGCTCCGCCTTTCTACCAGGTGAGAGGAATCACTGACTGCACCGTTCATTCATTTTATTATCAAACTGGGCATTTTAGTCATGTGATGCAGTCATGTGACCAATTAAACAAAGATAGCGGAGTTCATTATACAGCAGTTGTTTTGTTTGACAGCCCTGTTAAAGATTAATGTCAGTCTGTAGGTGCTCCAGCTCTTCTTCAAATTCTTTCATTCTCACTCGCTTTTGCAACTTTATACTTTTGTGTTGTCGCAGCAACAACTGCACCTCATTGTTAGTCTGTTTAAAAACTCGCTGCTTTTCCTCCACGTTTCAAAGAGCCGGAAATTAAATAAACGGCAGACAGCCAAATGAGGCAGGTCGAAACTCGTTTCACGCATGCGCAGGACTGGAACGTAAGCGTTTTCGACCGTTTCAATGTAGACGCACAACTCTGTGAAAACGACTGAAAATAGTAGTGTGGACGCGGAGCGTTTGCAGACGAAAACACCGTTTTCAAATCTATCCGGGACCATTGCTGTGAGTCACAGGCTGCGTCCACACGCACACGGGTATTTTTGAAAGCTGAGATTTTCCACACGTAAACGCAGAAAAGAAGGAAAACGCTGCTATGAACATGCCAAAGGTGGCGCTAGATTCCTAACCATGTAGAAATGTTGGCCAATCAGAAGTCCAGAAGCCTCGGTGGGAAAAAGTAAACAAAGCTGGGGCATAGAAGCAGAACCGAGTCGTATGTGTGGAGGGACAGTAACTGTGTGTATATGTAAGCATTTAAACACTGCAGAGAGTAGAATTAACAGTATTGTAGAAATTCATTTCACCGAAACAATAACGTGGCGCACAGTGTGACGTCATAAAAGGCGCACACTTTTGACGCTGCGTTTTCTCGTCCACACGTAAATGCAAAAACGGAGTTTCTAAATATCCACCCTGGCCGGAGTTTTTAAAAATCTCCGTTTTCAGTGACCGAAAACGCCGTTTACGTGTGGACGGAAGGTGCAAACGCATAGAAAAATCTGCGTTTTCAAAAATACCCGGGTACGTGTGCACGTAGCCACAGTGTGAGTCACTAAAAGCCAAGGATCCAGAATTTGCTGCGCTGGCTGCTGGGCTCTGTGGGGTTTTATCTGTACTAGATGCACCTGCTCCGTGTCGTTTCTATCTCGGACTTTATGTCCTCTACAAGAGTTTCTGCGTTTTTTGCTGGTTCTTCAAATGTTCAATAAAAACATGTATGCTAATTCATAATGAAGAAAGCTTTGTAACTATCCCCACTAGTGAAGACTGTCATTTCCACACCTGGTGAAAGCTCGCTCAGCTGTTGCACTTTATTTGATTTCATTGTTGGAGCAGATTGAGACGTAAAGCTCACACCGGAGGCCGAATACCTGATGAAATATCAGCGTCAACCCGATGCGACGGGGAAATGTCTACCTGTCTGTGCATACCTGTAGACACCTGTCACTGGATTTATAAATTACCTGCAGAATCACGCGTGTGGAATTAGTGTGATAATCGTCACACATGCAGTCAGAACGTGTAGATTAAAGCCCTCGTCACAGTTTGCACATGTGGCCTCAAATATCACAGGAACTAAAACAGGAAGTGAGACGAGCTTCTGTGGCCGTGTGGGGCTCTTCATCCGGGCGTCCTGCTCTAACATCACCATCACTTCACCAATTTCACATTTTATTCACTGAGACCTGTAAACAGCGACAAAACCATAAACCAATCAGGAACGAGTTCACTCTTTGGTTTGAGGAACCATTTTTCAGACCACGCCCATCTTTTAGCCATGCCCTGCTCCTGGTTCTGGAGGGTCACTCAGTGGTCGTGTCCAAATTCATGGGCTGCTTCCTCCTGAGGCCGCATTTGTGGACCGATTACGTCACAGCGACGCGATGAAGGCTGTCCAAATTCGTAGACTCCTCTGAATGCAGCCGACAAATGCGTCCTCCTTTTCCACGAATTTGGGGTCGGGTGTGTCCTTCGTGGCCCACGATATCCCAGAATTCATAGCACGGCCCAGCCAAACTCCAGTTTCCAACGATGGCAGCCGCCACTAAGTTTTAAAATTACTCTTATTAATCTTTCTGGGTCACAAAATAAACTTTGAACATATTTTCAGCTGTGTAAACTTCAAATATCTGCTCAGTTTATCAAGACATCGCATATTTGCAAAAGTGCTTCGACGTTTTCGGAGACATCTGTTACCCACCAGCTCGACAGCTAGCCATGAGCTCGAGGGTCACTGATGCGGCCGAGAACGGCACAACTCCGGCACATCATGTTCAGATCACCGCGGACTTTCGCTGCTCAGGTTAAACGTAATATATAAGTCACTTAGACAACCTAAAAATGTTATTGTTGGACTTTTTTCAGTGTTTTGTTTGTTCGTGAGTAAATCGGTTTGGCTGAGATTAAAGTTATTAGTTTAGATAAAATAAAACTTTATTAATCCATCGGGTGGTTTTCACACAGCTGAATAAACATCAAACAGAAAACTGATTAAACAGACGTGTGAGACGGTCGAGAGTTTCCTCCAGTGTCCTGTTATATTTTAGATAGCAAGGAGCAGACGGCCGAGTTTATTAAACTCCACCCACACAGCGGTGACGCTAATCAGAAGGCTGGACCGTCCAATTTCCCCAGCCTCGTACTTCCGGCCTACCCGACCTTCTGAGGACCCGCCCATGTAGACCGCGAAGGCCGGGTCCTCAAGAGGATGCAGCCCATGAATTTGGACACGACATGTGGTTCGTTTCCTGCTACGGTGAACTCAGGGGAGGAGCTTGTCCCCGGGGGATCGCCGCCCTGTTATTAAGAGTGGACGTTCACAGGAACGACCTGCAGGGTGAGGTGCGCTTGTTTCATCTACTTGGCTCTGTGGTTGCTTGGTTTGGAGGTGGAGGAGGAGGAAGAAGCGCTGAGGATGATGCTGACCCATAATCCTTTGGTTCCCACGAGACCCGGCAGTCCTGAGAGGAGAGAAGCGAGGGGGAGGGCCATTAAAGCATTTAAACAGGTTTTAGTGCAGACGCCTGCTCTGCTCCGCCCTCTGTGCTTCACACGTGAATACATTGAAAACTGGATTTCTACAACCTGTAGCTGTTTTCTGGCGTGGTGTTGGAGGATCAGTTTCAGGCGTGTTCACTGAAGGTTTACCTGGAGCTGTTTCCACGGTAACCCAAAGCGTGGGCAGTCTCTGCTTGTCCTGACAGCCGCGTGCGGGCTTGGTGGGTTCTGGACTCGGCGGTAGACCTGAGGAGAGCAGACAGACGGGTGAAAACCACGTTTCGTGCGACAGAACCGACCAGCTGTTCTGAGATTAGTTTGGTGTCGGTGGTGGAGTCCGTCATTTTTACCCACGGCTGTCATCGTCACCCCGTGACCCAGGCGAACAACGTGGACCCGCGCTCTGAATCATGTGGCGTCGAAGCGGCTGAGCATACTCAGTGTGGATGTTTTCTCTCTGCTCACTGATCCAAACACACTGCTGCAGAGGAGCAAAGCGTCCGTCCTGCTGCCTCAGGCGAACGTTACCCTCGTTACCCTCGACTGTTTTTAACCCGTGACACATGACTGAGTGAATATTGATGCACACCTGCTCTTCTTCTGCTTTGCTCATTTCCTGTCTCACGTTAAACACAAAGTTTCTGATGATGAGCTCAGGTGGCTCTGAACACTTCATCACACCTGCAGCTCGAGAGAGGCAGCCAATCAGAAGAGCCGTCGTTGCTGCTGGTTTGTCGTTGTATAACAGGATGAACTGGTGCAGAAAACTGAATGAAGACAAATGTTTGTTTTACATGCAGGAGTTTGTCTAGTGGGGTCAAAGGTCAAAGATTCAGAACATGGTGCTCACTTTCCAGAAGATGTTTGTTTGCAGTTATCTTTATTCTGAGCACGACCAGGACGCATGCACGCCAACACGCCAACACACCAACACACCTTTGTGCCACATAAGAGATTTACCATCACAATGACTCACAAGTTAAAAATACAACTTACGGTGTGTGTGTGTTATGTGTGTGTGTGTGTGAGAGAGAGACTGTGTGTGTGTGTGTCTGTGTGTGTGTGTGTTATGTGTGTGTGTGTGTGTTATGTGTGTGTGTGTTATGTGTGTGTGTGGTTGAGGTGTGTGTGTGTGTGTGTGGTGTGTGTTTTGTGTGTGTGTGTGTGTGAGTGTGTTTTGGTTGTATGTGTGTGTGTATGTGAGTTGTGTTGTGTGTGTGTTGTGTGTGTGTGTGTGTGTAGTGTGCTGTGTGTGTGTGTGTGTGTGTGTTGTGTGTGTTTGTGTGTGTGTGTGTATGTGTGTGTGTGTGTGTTATGTGTGTTGTGTGTGTGTTTGTTGTGTGTGTGTTGAGTGTGTGTGTGTGTGTGTGTGTTGTGTGTGTTGTGTGTTTGTGTGTGTGTGTATGTGTGTGTCTGTGTGTGTGTGTGTGTGTGTGTGTGTGTGTGTGTGTAGTGTGTGTTGTGTGTGTGTGTGTGTGTGTGTGTTATGTGTGTGTGTTCATACTTCGGTAGAAGTGGTTTCGGGCGAGCACGCAGGCTGGAGAGTTGACGCTGGTCATGGTGGTTCAGGGTGGGTTTGCTGACCTACAGGATCCACAACCTGCAGACAGACAGATGGAGGTCAAAGGTCAGATCCAGTTTGAAAGGTGTAAATAATGTAACAGAGGCAGGAACAGAAACAGGATGAAGTCAGGAGGAAGTAGAAGAAATGAATACAAGCAACAAACCAGAATAGAAAACTGATTTATTGGAGCACCCAGACTCCCTGAGCATCGTCTCCCCCGGGATGAATCTCAGAGGCCCGTTTCCATCGGCACCTCGACTTTAAAAGCAGTGATGGAGGGGGGAGGCTGTGATCGATAAACTCTGAGGAGCTGAGCGGCTGCACACTGTGCCTGCAGGAAGTAGGAGCAGTGCTGACGTCCACGTGTTGGTTTAATGTAGCGTCTTAAGGGGAAGATGCAGGAGTTTGGGTCTGACTCATTACTCCTCACGAGAAAGAAGCTGTTTCCATGACGTCTGCTTATGTTGGTGATAAAACCTCATACCGAAATGAAGCTTATGAGCCTTTATCACCGCTTTGAAGCTTCTGTGCTGACATGAGACAATGTGCTCACAGTTCAAATGTTATGGAAAGTAATTCAACTTTTTTGGGTTTTTTATTATTGTGTGTGTGTGTGTGTGTTTTGTTGTGTGTGTGTGTGTGTGTGTGTGTGTGTGTGTGTGTGTGTGTGTGTGTGTTGTGTTTGTGTGTGTGTGTGTGTGTGTGGATTTAATATCCAGCACAGGCTTACAGGATGAATCTGCTCACATGCAGCCAGCTGCCCCGCAGAGGACGACGCCACGTAAACTGGAGGCAGGACTGTGAGAAAAACTCGACTTACAGCAAACCAAAGACCAGTCAGAGGCGCATCAAACCAGTATTCAACCAAACATCTGTCACTGGTGTTTCCGTTCAGCAGCAACTGAGAGCCTGAAAGTGACATCATCCATACGTGGGAGAGAAACAGGAAGCTCACTGCGGGCCTCAGTTAATGAGTCAGCTGGAAAAATTCATAACTTCAGTTTTTCTGATGATCAGATACGTTCAGCGTTAATGTTCGACCTTTGTAAATGTTTGGTTTGCAAAGACCTCTGGGGTCAAAGGTGGCATCAGCGTAATGTCAGCGGCTTGAGGAGGAGGGCGGAGCATCCGAGCTCAGCCTCACACTTTGAGTCAGCTTAAAAGGCTGTTAGCGCGAGCAGCTATTTCTGCTATAGGTGGACAGCAGAGAGGAGCCCCCCCCTCAGGAAACGCTGATGCCTGAGTCAGTGTGACCTTTCACCTGAGCATGGGCGTAGGAGCTTGGAGGGGGACGTCTTTGCCATGTTTGTGTTCCTGGTATTCGTGTGTACTCTGTGCTTCGACCTTGTTGAAATACATCTGCCTGGAAACCTTTGGAGGTCATTCAGTGTAATGTGATTACTTTGGCAGGTGTGTTTTCCTGATAAGCTGAGGTCAGAGTCGTAGACCGGAGGCCGGTGTGTTTGCGTCCTCGTGGTGTTCAGTGGCAAGTCGACCTGTTGGTCTTAGATAAGTTCCTTTTTTTGGTTACAGAAAATATTTGCTGTTGGAGGACTCTGGACTGGACGCTTATTTTTAAACCCGCCGGCTCCGGTTTGGCCCTGTGGGTCCTTTACAGTGAGCTCACATGCAAACTTCCAGACACTTTATCTGCACAGATGATCTTAACCTGAAGCTGTGACGCTGCGTGGCTGCGGCCCACGCTAACATTTGTACACAAATCACTGAAGTTTGTAGATTTTAAAATCAGAGCTGTTACTTTACATTCAGCTGTGTTTACTCTGCAGAGCGCTCAGCGATTCTATCAGCTTGACCAACATCAGCAAACACACAAACTGTGTGTGTGCAGCTGAAGGTCCAGCTGGTGTATCTGACTGAGAGGGAAACAACGGAGAGCTCAGAGATGCAGACAGATCAGAAAGGGAAGCAAACGCAAAGCTTACATGCGACGTAGAATCACACGTTGCATCTGTGTATGACGCCTTTTGATAAATGTCCTGCAAAACAAACTAAGGTGCACAAACTTGTGTTATTCAAGTGTTGCATGATGACACTGGGCAGTGTCCCCCTGGACAAACAGGTCAGCTTTCATTAGTGTGGTGAATCCACAGGAAGCTCTGTGTGTGATACACCGTGGAGCTCCTGCTCACAGTCAGGTCACAGCGAGTGTAGCAGGGATGAATTGATCATATGATGATGCTGAGATTCAGTCACTGAACTGCATCTTTATTAGGGATGGGTACCGGTATCGTTCTGACATAAACTGTAGTAACCAGACCGAAAAGCAGCGCACATTTCGGTGATTTATTTCCCCTGAGATGTCACACACTTTGTATTCTGGCCAATCATTTTACCTTTCGAGGATAGTAGGTGGGGCCAGGTACGTACGTTCTTTTAGAGCAGAGCTACAGATTAAAAATGCCCAAGGCGAAGCGGTCAAAGTCTGGCTGTACTTCACAGCAAAAGATGCAAACTCAGCAGCAACAAGTGCTTTAAGCTGATACTGTGATACTGTCAAAGGAGGTAACACCTCAATCCGATGAAACACCTGGCGACGCATAGCGTTTTTTTTAAAAGCCGAGAAATGCGCCGTATTTGATAGCTTGCTGCGAGACCTCACACCGAGCACATCTACTGCGGGTGTGGTGCCTGTTATCGGACCCGGAGTTAGCAACATCCCCCAAAAACCCGAAGAGGAGAGTCCTGGCCCCTAGCCCTGCCAGTGTAGCAGAAATGATGAGGATGATGATGCAGCAGCAGCCGTTCTTCTCTGCGTGAGTAGCTTAATGTTGTTCGTGTGTAATTTACGTTGAGTAGGCTAACCACGTTATTACATTAATGCATGTAAGGTGAACTAGCAAACACCATCATAGCTACATGCGGCTGTCTTCTTGTTTGATGGCAGATACTCCCTTCACCCTGGCCAAAAAGGCTAAAATGACCAAAGAAAAAGAGGGAAACAGCTGAACATGAGAGGTTTTTCGACAAAGTTTGTGTTTTTCCATTGTTTAAGCACTGCTTCCAGCCAAGAGTGATACCATATATGCCCCATAGCTGCAGAAAAGGCTAACATTGTTATCTTTTTACAAAAAAACAGCTAAACATGAGAGGTTTTTGGACCAATTTTGTGTTCTCCATTCTTTAGGCACCGGTTCGAGCACCGTTTACCGTTTCAAAAGTACTGGTTTGGTACTGGTATCGGATAAAAGCTAAACGATACCCATCCCTAATCTTTATACCAGCTGCATGCAGTCCAGTCTAAAGACGGTGTAAACTGTGAGTGTAGGAAATCAGCTGTGATCGCTGTGAAAAGTGTGCTGTGATTCTTTCCCCACGCTGATCTTAGCGTCCCCCCTCCTGTTGAACCCACTGTGGCTGTTCTCGTTGTTTCGGTGTGGAGGGTCACCCTCCAGAACAGAAGGCTCTGCCTCCTTTTGTTTCCAGCGTAGTCGGCCCGTCAGCAGGCCCGGGTCACAGGACCTCAGGGACCTGCCGGGACATGTGGGGGCGGAAGCCTCTGATACAACCTGGTGCTGTCCAGTAAAGCCTCTTTACTGCACTGTGAAACAAAGCAGAAGCCGTGCAGCTGCGTGAAGATTGGAGTCACACGTGGGGATTTTGTCAGAAACAGCACTTTGAACAACGTGCAGCAGCTCAGGGAAGGTTTGCACAGCAGAAACAACCAAACGTGGGAGTAATCATTTCCCGTTCAGGACGTGACACAGTGCAGCTTAGTTTGGCAATATCTGTCCGATGATACAAACAGGAGCAAACATGGTCACCCAGACTGAAACAAGGTCAAAGGTTATGTAACGTTCCTAACCCTGGATTCTTCCAGGTGTCTCCTTTATCCCGGACGCGCCTCTTTCTGGAGCTCAGAGCATTTTTTTCAGTTTTCCTAAATAACAGATTCCAGCTGAGAGCATTCTTTAGAGATATCACTTACATTCAACACAACATTCGTTTGTCGTGCACTAATAGTATTTTATTATCATGTAGAGCACAGCCGTCCTTCAAGGAGCAGCTTTTACTTTTGACTGAGTCATTTTTCACTTTCAGTATTTATGACACAAGTATCTGTACTTCCACTGAAGGGAGGACGGGCTGCCCTCTGCACAAGTAGGGGAAAGTGTGTGTGTGTGTGTGTGTGTGTGTGTGTGTGTGTGTGTGTGTGTGTGTGTGCTGTGTGTGTGTGTGTGTGTGTGTGTGTGTGTTGTGTGTCTGTGTGTGTGTGCGTGTGTGTGTTGTGTGTGTGTGTGTGTGTGTGTTTGTGTGTGTTGCTGTGTGTGTGTGTGTGCTGTCTGTGTGTGCGTCTGTGTGTGTGTGTGTGCGTGTGTGTGTGTCTGTGTGTGTCGTGCTGTGTGTGCGTGTGTGTGCGTGTGTGTGTGTGTGTGTGTGTGTGTGTGTGTGTGTGTGTGTGTGTGTGTGTGTGTGTGTGTGTGTGTGCGTGGTTGTTCTGTGTGTGGTTCTGTGTGTGTGTGTGTGTGTGTGTGTGTGTTGTGTGTGTGTGTGTTGTGTGTGTGTGTGTGTGTGTCGTGTGTGTGTTGTGTCAGGTGCGTGTGTGTGGTGTCTGTGTGTGTGTGCGTGTGTGTGTGTGGTGTTGTGATGTGTGTGTTGTGTGTGTGTGTGGTGTGTGTGTGTGTTGGTGTGTGTGTGTGTGCGTGTGTGTTTGCGGTGTGTGTGTGGTGTGCTGTGTGTGTTGCTGTGTGTGTGTGTGGTGTGTGTGTGTGTGTGTGTGTGTGTGTGTGTCGTGTTGTGTGTGTCTGTGTGTGTGCGTGTGTGTGTGCTGTGTGTGTGTGTGTGTTCTGTGTGTGTGTGTGTGTGTGTGTGTGTGTCGTGTGTGCGTGTGTGTGTGGTGTTGTGTGTGTGTGTGTTGGGTGGTGTGTCTGTGTGTGTGTGTGTGTGTTTTTTTCTGTGTGTGTGTGTTCTGTGTGTGTGTGTGTGTTGTTGTGTTCTGTGTGTGTGTGTGGCGTGTGTTGTGTGTGTGTGTGCTGTGTGTGCTGTGTGTGTGTGTGGGTGTGTGTGTGTCGTGTGTGTGTGTGTGTGTTGTGGTCTGTGTGCTGTGTGCTGTGCGTGTGTGTGTCGTGCGTTGTGTCTGTGTGTGCGTGTGTGTGTGTGTGTGTGCTGTGTGTGTGTGTCGTGCGTGTGTGTGTCTGTGGTGGTGCGTGTGCTGTGTGCGTGTGTGTGTGTGTGTTCGTGTGTGTGTGTCGTGTGTGTGTGTGGTGTTGTGTGTGCTGCGTGTCTGTGTGCGTGTGTGTGTGTGTGTGTGTCTGTGTGTGTGTGTGTGTGTGTGTGGTGTGTGTGTCTGTGTGTGTGTGTGTGTGTTTTGCTGTGTGTGTGTGTGTGTGTGTGTGTGTGTGTGTTGCTGTGTGTTGTGCGTGTGTGCTGTGTGTGTGTGTTGTGTGTGTGTGTGTGTGAGTGAGTCGTTGTGTGTGTGTGTGTGTGTGTGTGTGTGTGTGTGTGTGTGTGTGTGCGAGAGAAGCTGAGGTGGTGACAGGAGGACACTGAGCATGCTCTGAAGCCTGAGCTCTTGGTCCTACCTGATAGAAGCAAGAGAAGGTCAATACTCGAGTATTTTACTCGAGTATTCTGTCAGTGAAGCTTTACATAATGAAGCTGAGTGTTCGGAGGCTTGCAGGGAGCAGTGCACACACACGGATCTCATTACTGGGAACTCTGGTCTGTGTACCATGAAGACCAGCAGGAGCAGAGGTGAGTGCTTGCTCCAGTCATTCAGGCTCCGCCGGCTCCCTCGAGCGTTCAGCGTAATCTCCTGGATGATTTTAATGAGCTTTCTGCTCCTTGGCTTCTGAACGTGGACACGTTCTTCATCCTCCTCGAGGCGGCAGCGATTCTCACGTTTTCCCTCTTCGGTCTCCACCAGCTGACTGCAGGTTATCCACATGAAAACCAGCTGTTGTTAACAGGACTTCCTGCTGATTCAGGAAACGGCTCCGTTAATTCTGACCGACGACACGGCGGCGAGGAGATCTGCCCCGTCAGAGAGGCCCGAGCAATAAGGCCTCGGGATGCAGATTACAGCGGTGAGCCGTAAATCCCTCAGAGGTCGCGTGCCTCGTAAACACAGCCCTCATACTTCACAGCAACCGTTTGCTGACCGGGTCGGGGTGACGCACAGGTGAACTGTCCGTGTCACCGCTGCCTGTTTAAAGCCGAACAGCTTCAGACACAGAACTGGGAAACTGCACAGCAGGATAACGACTGCCTCGCTTTCTGCAGCCGATCTGCCTGCTGATGATTCATGACTTCCTGATTAATACCAAACGCAGCGGTGTGGGAGAGGAACAAACGGTGTGTGGGTTAAAAAAACAGGAGACGGGGAGGCAAAAGTGTCACATTAAGGACTGAATTATTAATGTTTCTATTAGCAATGAAACTAAAGACAAGCTGTTGTCACCATTTAAAGCAAAAAGGAAAGTTTTAAGCCTAATCTTAAAAGTAGAGATAGTGTCTGTCTCCTGAATCCAAACTGGAAGCTGGTTCCACAGAAGAGGGGCCTGAAAACTGAAGGCTCTGCCTCCCATTCTACTTTTAAATCCTCTAGGAACAACAAGTAGGCCTGCAGAGCGAGAGCGAAGTGCTGTAATAGGGTGATATGGTACTACAAGGTCATTTAGATAAGATGGGGCCTGATTATTTTGTGTGGGAGGATTATTTTCCTCTGACAGGTGGGTGATTCTGATCTTGGTCACATGGTTTTTATGTTTTTGGCTCAGCTGATGAAAACAAAATGAGCTGAAGTGGTGAAACAGAAGGGAGGGGCTGAGTGCTTCGGAGCCCAGAGATCTGCAGCTCAAAGGTTAAATGACGACCGTCCTCTAACCTCTGAGCTGCAGATTTTCTCCTTCAAATCTCAGCGTGCTCGTTCGCTGCGTGAACACACAGTTTATCGTGCCAACAAAGCAGCCGTGTCACCAAAGACACGCTTCAAACCTGAGAGATCAGGACTCGAGTTTATCTCTAGGCCTTTAAATATGGAGAGTTCATATTTTTATCAGGTTTAAAGTGCAGTGGGCTGATTCCAGTCTGCAGAGCTGGCTTCTCTCAGTTTGACAGACACACTCAGGCCAAGTTTCCAGGAAAGAAAAGCTAAATGTGACCTTCTCGCCTCTCTTAACGTCAGTTTCCTCGTCTTGCGTAATCTTTGCAATAACAGTGTCTTTGTTTTGTATCCTGGCAGTCTGCTCTGTGTCAGTAACACGACGCTGGACCGTGACGCTGACTCACAGGATGAACACGATGTTATTTTGGAAAGTGAGCATTATCACAGACAACTGAGGGAAGTCTTACCGTCACTTAGTTTGCTTATACCGAGGCTCCTCACATCACACGGATAAATCCGGGACCGTGAGCTCTGGCATGGTGGTGGAGGATGGAGGTGATGGCGTTGCTGTGTGTCGCCCTCGGCGGGCTCTCTGCGCTCACACTCAAACACGGTCACTCCTCATTATCTGACACCTCCTCTCCTCCCTCCACCCCTCCCTCAGCCATCCTGGTGAATCTCTTTAACTTCCTGTTGCTCTGCAGCAGTCACCACCTCACACAGTCACAGCACAACCCACACTCAGTCTGTCCAAGCAGAGAGCACTCATCTCACCTGCACAGGTGCAGCAGCAGGGTTCCCAGGTGGTGTCCACAGACCACTGCTCTCTGCCACCTGTGGTACATCCCCACCTGTGGAGACGAGGACCCAACGCATGGAGCTGCACGGTGCCGAGCACAGCTCGAGCTGAAGCATGCCGGACCCCCGCGGGGCGACTCCTCTGGTCAGGCTGTATGGAACGAACGGTTTGATGGTGGCTTTCTGTTTCAGGTGTGGCTGAATCAAGTGTGATGAGGTCTGTTCACCATTAAAATCATTACAACATTCGTCAAATCACAACAGTCACCGTGAGACGCTGTAAGGTAAAGAGCCTCCAGTCATACAGAGAAACCCCAACAAACAGTCAACAGTGGAAAGGAAGAATCCCCATCTGACAGGAAGAAACCTCGGGGGGCAGGTTTGTCAGTTTCTGACAGAATCAGGACTCCTGATTGGTCCTCGGCTCCCGGCAGAGATGACTCATCAAACCAAACCAGCGTCACAGTTTCAGGATTCAGCGGAAGAGGCTGAATGACTTTATTATTTCTACCTTGATGATTTCTACCTTCTACAGTCCCACTAACACCACTGTGAGGCCCACGGAGAAGGCCGTGTGACGGACAGGAAGTGAGCGAAACAGCGGATTTATCCCCCTGACCGAATGCTGCCTCTGCTCTCATTGGAGATCTGAACAGTTTAATAAAGAAAGAAGTGCCTCACATTGTGAAACAGCAAAGCCATCCTGTCCGAGGCCGTGGGGAGGGTCTGTGTTCGGCACATTAGGCTAAGCTCCTCCTCCATGCTGTGGCTCAGGGTGGAATGCGAGTGGGCGTGTTGGCTTTGTGGAGCCGAGGGCCAGCGGGTTCACGGGCGGGAGTGCAAGGAAAACAGCGGTTGGCGGTTTTCCCGGTCAGACGTTGGGCACTCCTGGAGCACATGATCACTGTGTGTGTGTGTGTGTGTGTGTGTGTGTGTGTGTGTGTGTGTGTGTGTGTGTGTGTGTGTGTGTGTGGGAGGGAGGGACTATTTCTGGAAAAGTTGCTCTAATTACTGTAAATAGAGCTCACAGTAATGTTGCAGACTGACATGCTGGCCTGAGGTCAGGACACTGAATGATCCTGATGATGATCCTCCGGTTGGAGGGCGCGTCCCAACAGAACTCTTATTCCTGTGTTTAATAATCTGAGCTGGTGCAACGCGCTCAGGGTTCAACCTGACGCCTACAGGAGGAGCGGGTGATGCAGAGGCGCCTGTGACCCGTCTCCTTTAAAGCTCCGTCACTCGGAGTTTCGCTCTATTTCTACCAGCCCTGTGGATGAACTGGGTTAACGGGGCGTGCACGCGCAGCGCTGACCGTGTCTGCTGGAAGTTTGTCGTGTTGGCGCCGCTGTGCTTCTATAACTCTCCCAGCGCTGTGTGAACTTGAGCTGCGCAGCGTGTGAGAGCGGAGGATGCCAGGCGTTACTGACCCAGTTACCTGCAGCAGATGTAACAGCACTGATGGAAACGGCTCCTTACGCACAGAGCGCTGCGCCCCGCTTTCGTTTCATTAAAACATCAAAGAGCAAAAAGATTCAGGTTTGATACCTGCGGAGTCAGAGCCTCGCTGCTGCACGCGCTTTAGCCAGGCTCCAGTCTCAGAATGAAATAAGAATGATAAAGCAAGTAAAATGTATTTCTACAGATCTTTATAAGACAAGATGCTGTTACAAAGTGCGTCACGTGGGAATATAAAAGCATATCAAATAAAAACATTTCACAGGAACATTACCCTGACGCCTGTCTAACAGAAGTGTTTTAAGCTGATTTTTAAAAGAAGCCACAGAAGCGCGATCCCTCGTTTTCAGACGGGTCCGTGGACTAATCAGGAGAGCGCTATCAGGGGATGTCCGCTTTGGAGAAGCGCAGTGATATCTGTGAGGGCCTCACCTCATACAGATATGAACGTAAACGTGAGGATTTGAAACTGATACCTGTACCCAACTGGAAGCCAGTGCAAGGACTTTAACATGGGAGAGATATGGGAGAGCTTATTACTGTGGGTTAAAAGCCTTGCTGCAGCATTTTGGATCACTTGGGGGAAGGAAGCCTTAGACAGACAGGAAAAGAGTGCGTCACAATAGTCTAACCAGGAGATGAAGGCGTGGACTAGCATCTCCATTTCACCTTTGGAGATGAGAGTCCTGAGTTTAGCAATAGCCCACTTAGATGAAAAAAGCAGCAGCGGGTCACAGGCTTGATATGAGCATCAAACGGCGGAGATTGATCAACAATGATCCCAAGATTCTGAGCGGCGGCTTTTATCACCGCGGTAAAGTGAGACGTCATTTGTGAGCCGCAGTCAAGCCAGCCG